TAGTTTCCATTATTTGCATGTTTTGAGGCAGTCTTCCTTTCAGGCTCAAGAAATACCCCCATGTATCTTTTACTATTCTTCTTTCCTTATAGTGATTTCACATACCAGTCTAGTGCATTAGGTTAATGCACCACTGCTCGCCTTTTAGTAGTGTAGTGATTTCACATACTAGTGTAGTGGTGTCACAATGACACCCTTCATCCATAGCTACTATCACACTTAACACTTGATAATGTTGTCATCCATTTTCCAACTCCTTAGGATCCCAAAAGATCTTATTTAGTTGATAGTGTCGATCTCCTTCCCATGCCGTCTCGATCGTGCTTTCTTGCATCATCTCGCTTTCTTCATCATATCACCATTTCGCCAACTTAGCCATGGGCTCGCCTTCTTGTAACTTAAATTTATCACTCTTATGCTGTAACATAAGCTTGTCCCCAATTACCAACTCCAACTAATTTTCTTCATCATGACTTTGGAGTTCCAGTTCTTATCCCTTCTTAGACTTTTTCCAAAAATCAACCATGTCCTTTTTGAGCTAAATATTTGTTAATAATTTAAATAGCTCAATTAAATTCATTCATTGGTTTTTCTAACTCATTACCAATGATACTAAAAGGGTATAAACTCAATTCCAACCATATATCAATTGTATCTCAAGTATTTCTTATTTTCATACTAGCTGTTTAACACTTTGACTAGAAAAGTCAAAGCTATCAAAATTTTCCATTATCCATTAACATGTAGTAAATTCCTTCATGAATCTTATTTAATACAAGGTACGCATTCATTAAGACCCTAACTCACCCAAATCCTTACCACATTTCACAAAACCCTTTCGTGGTTCCACCAAGTTCGGGCATATATCATGTGTTTATAATAGTGTGGGCCCTATGATATTATAACCATTTCATACATAACTGACATTGACTTCATCACTTAGGAGGTTTTGATCCATTGATTTAGACCATTCATACACCAATCTTACTTCCATTACTTACCTTAAACGTACTCACTGTAGCATTATACAAGTTGTTCTAACTTATCTAAAGCTTCATATCATCTAACATGTCGATTCCTTTCTATCACTTGTTGCATAATATTGTACCTAACTTAAGGCATAAAACTCGTATGACTAATTCAAACTTTCCATAACCAAATTCAAGCCTAGGAGTGGAATGATCCAATCCTAATTCACTTAAACTATGGCTCTGATATCAAGTTGTAACACCCCAAAATTTTAAAACTTTGAAATGTTATGGTTTTAAAAACATTCGAGTCTTAACCAACATTTAACAAAAACCAGTCCCACAAAAACATTTAGAAATTAAAGCATTGGGTGTTACCATTAAGCATCAATACAACCATAGCAAGCCAATAAGAATTACATTAATACAATTAACAACGAACTTAATGAGTTCCACTCCATTCTCTATCACTTGACTTCTAACTTCCATCTATCATCCTTTCTCCTTAAGTAAAATCCTGGAATACATGGCATTAAAAAGAGATACGTACGACAATACTGTCATGTGAGCTATGCGGGTTAGTGACCAAAAACATGTAACACGTTTTTATTAAAACATTTCATTTTTACAAAGCATATCTTTTCAAGCATTCTCAGGAAAACTCTTTTCATACATATCATAAATATCATTTCATCTATTATGATTTCATTTCAAAAGATATATTTCCTCATTCCATTCTATATCAAAACATTTCATTAGTTATAACGTAATTCAAGACATTTCTTTTCACATTCCAATCCTTATTTCATTAATAGCCAATTCCGGTGTTAAATTGTTGCCATTTTGATACTTAGGGCCTAGCAATATCCCCAGGTCTATACCAAGGTGGAAAGAACAAATCAATCCAATAAGGCATCATTTTCATTAGGACATCTATCTCGCGAAGGGGAGGCGTCACAGCAGTAAATTCCTCTATATCCTCTTACGGGGACATCATGGCTCGAGCAATATATTCATTTCATTACTTTCAGATTCTTTCCAATTTCTTTCAGTTCTTTCCATTTCTTTTCATTACAGTCCATTTCTTCTCGTTACTTTCCATCCTTTACACATTTCATACATTATCATTAAAAATTCATTTCAAAAGTAAAGCATCTATATTTCAAAACATTACAAACACATTTTCAAAACATTCGATCTTCTAAAACGTTCTTTGTTTTCAAAAACATTCTTGCCTTCAAGGCATTCTTTCAAAGTATCATTTCCAAAACATTTGACACTTTCATTTCAAAAACATTTTATATATCCAACAATAGTGTTTCATTATCATAAAATCATTTTGCCATGTACCCCAAAGTGGGAAAATTCCAACACGTACTCATCTCAATCACAAGAAAGCTAGCTAGTCTTCTTCTACTTCTTGTCCTTATAGCAACACTTTCAAACACCACTTATATATTAAGTAGGTGAAAGTCAATAAAATAACCAAAATACCCCTCAAGGGTCCCATTACTAAATTTTATTTCTTTAAACTATTCCTTATGAGAAACTATGAACATAGGTGAAAAATGTGCGTAAATACGAGTTTGTATGCAAAAGTTATGAGGAAAATACTAAAGTTCAGATTTTTGGTCTAGCTGAGCACTCTGTTGTCTGTGTGTGAGCCGCGTGCCTGACCACGCGGGTCGTGTCCCATAGCAACTCAAACACCCCCCAAAAACTCACTTTTTGAGTCCTAAACTTTCTTGGGTGGTTGTGGTCTTTTCAGGTAACCATTTGTAACACTTTTAAAGGTTTCCAAGCACTACTAAAGGATGTTTTATCATGTCAAAAATATTCAACTTATTTCATTAAGTCCTCAATCAAAATGCTAAGTTCATAATGCTTACAAACACTCAAATAAAAGGGTTAAGAGCTTAAGTTGATCAAGAACACTCTTTAACCAATATGGTTTAATCCCAAATCATTTAATACATCATTGGGTGTTGTCAAGTATATAAAACCACCATTAGTCACATTGCAAATACTTAATACAACTATGAAATCCTCAATTCCATTCCATATTTCCCAAATTGCCCTTTGGGACAAAACAATCACTAGAGCTAGAACCTTACTAGCATCCCTTCATGTTTGTGTTCCAATATTGTCTCTATAGTGTCAATTCATATTCATGAATGTCATTCACTTCTTAGATGTCAATCTTTGTGTAGTAATCCATATATTTCCCAAAATGCTCTTTTGGCTACAAACTCCAGGGATTCATCCAATAATCAATCAACACTTAGTATTTTTCTTCCAAATCATTCTAATAGCATCCATTCATGTTTATGAACTTCATTTGCTCAACAATCGCTCAACTACAAAGGATTCCATTGGTTTCATCATATTGTCCCCAAATCCATTTCAATCATAGCTTATACATGATTCTACCATAATTGATGTGTGTGATTATTCCAATTGGATTCATTGTCAACAAAACACATCTAGGTCATAGAATCTATTCTAATTTAACGTATAAACAAGAAATCCCCAAATAGGATTTCTAGGGTTCATGAGTGTTTTCACCCAAATCCTCAAATCCATTAATAAGATGGTTGGATTGAGGTTGGGATCATCAAAACAACTCAAGGGAGTTTAGAAAACAAAACCCTAACCATCATAACAATCTAAAATCGACATTGGGGTTCAACCTCAATCATGAACTCAAAAATAGAGTTAAAGGAGGAGAGATTATACCTAAAAAGCCTTTGATTCAACTTTCTTTTGTTGGGATGCTCAAATCTCCACTTGAATCAATCCTAGAAGTTCTTGAAAATCAAAATTGCCATTAGCTCTCTTCCTTTCTCTCAATCACGTTCTTCCGAAGCAAATGAGAGAGAGGACCCATTAACTAGCTCTAAACTTCCTCAAGTTGTCACTTTTGGTCCCTCCTTGCAAAAGACCTTTCAAAGTAACTCCAAACTAACTTAGAAGCTTCAACTAACTTCCAAAATGGTCCCTCTCCATCCAAATTTTTAAAAACTTAGTTCAAGTTAGTAAGTTGGTCAAATCTGTAGTCAAACCTAAGTTTCACCCGATTATCACAAATAGCCCTTTAACTTTTAACATGTTATTATTTTCACTTATAATTTTCAAAAATGCATATAAAGTAATGATATAATTATCCCTTGGTAATTTATCTATATAAATCATCTTCATTTATTTATTTTGTTAATTTAAAAATCTGGTCTTAAATTTTAGGATGTTGCATGGAGCGAGCTTGAAAAAAACTCAAAAGAGGCTTACGATGACGGATGGAGTTGCGATGTTGTCAAACTTGGGACCCAAGCCATTGAGAAGATGGGTGACCAAGGTTTTGTCGGGAACGAGAGACCCGATATTGGCTAATAACTCCCCCATGATATTAATCTTTTGACAATACTCCATAATAAATCAATCACCAAGAACCATAGAATGCAATTCATTTTCAAGCTCAATTGCCCACACATCTTTGTTGTCTCAAAACAAATCTTCAAGAGCTTTCCAAACTCTTTGAGCGTTGTAGTCATTTTTTAGATCCATAGTGAGTAGACGTTGAATAAGGGTGCCATAAATCCGCATAGCAACAAGAGAATCAAGATTGTGTCATGCCTCGTCTTTGTCGTCTTTCGGATTGGAAGTATCATCAAGGTGACTGGAAACGTCGTGGGCTTTGCAATGGGTCTCGAATAGAACTCTTCAAGAATCATAGTTCAATTGATTCAAGTCAAGAATCAAGGGAACAAAAGATTTTATATGTGTGATGCTACAGGGTTTGAGGAGGCCGTCAACCATGAGAATGGTGGAGAAGAAGAAAAAACAATCACATGAGAGATGGAGAAGATGAGGGCCACGACATATAGGGTTAGGAAGATCAATTCTCTTATACCACAATAGATTCCCAAATATTACTTGCTTTCTCATTCATACATGCACAAATTATATACAAAATACATAATACAATTGAGCCTATACAATACAACAATGAGCTAATAAATAATGGGCTAATGTACTCTAATAGGAAGAGACTTCTTCACCTCTATTGTTTTTCAAAGGCAATCTTTTATAGTGTTTTCCAGGTCTTCGGAGTAGTAAGTAATAACCTTTGTCATATTCTTTGATGGCCATGCTTCTTTTAATGTGGTGGGTAAGCATCAACAACGAATAACCGTTTTTGGAACCAGAACCGGATAGGATCCTACAATTTCAGAACCAGAACCGAGAACCGATGTGACCGGGGCTGGTTTAGGTTCCTAAAGTTTGGAACCGATTGAAATCGGTTCATAATTTTTTGAACATATATATGTTGGGTACACTTATAAAAAATCTAAGTGATTGCATTTGTTATTGTTGTTATAATTGGTTCAGATTTTAATGATTTTTATAGTTATATAACAAATTCTAACTAATTTAAATAGTAAAATAGTAAAAAAAAAAATGTCATTTATTCTTTCTCTGTACTCGATTCTAAAAGGAGGTATATCTTAAAGTTTTTTTTTAGATAACTATAAACTAATTGCATTTGTTACTTGCCTTTATAAAGACAAAATTGCATAAACTAATTGCATTTGTTACTTACTTTTATAAAGAAAAATTTGCATAACTAGTACATGTGATATCTAAAAACCTCAAGTGCAAGTGCATGGCAATTTTGTAATTTATTGCACGGATGGTCTTGGCCGTGTCATTTTCTTGCATGGTTGGTTCTTAAACGGTAAATTTAACCATTAATTTTTTTTTCTTTTAAATAGCATTTGCCCTTTTGACCAAACACCAAAATACAATGTACCATAAGGCCTAGATTTGTAATTTACTCGTTAATTTATGTTTTTTATTAATTTTTTTTTTTTTTTTGGTATTTACTCATTAATCTACATCCAATATAATCTACATTCTTTACGAATTTTCCTATAAAATTCAAATGAATCCAAAAAGATAAGAAATTAACATACATATGAAGCAATTTACATAATTAATGTAAATACTAAGAACTCAAGAAGCAATTAACATACATCGATAAAAGGATCTGAAAAACAGATAAACATATAATTGATTTTTTGGAACGTTAATTTTATTTGACAAAGAAAAATAACCAACAAGAGGCTAGAAATAAAAAAGCGAGAGACAAAGATCTAAAGCAAAAGAGTTACAATTTCTAGCACACCAAGGAATTATTTCTAGCCTCTTGTTGGTCATTTTTTGTGCATAATACCTAGAATTATCTTCACATTTGCATTTCACATTGTTGGGAGAAATATCAACAAAGATCCCAAATATGGTATCTCCGAGGAATTATTGGTATAATGGCTATAGTCATTAAATAATCCTAGTATTTTAGTTTTTTAATCTTTTGGTCAGTTCTCTTCACAAGCATTGTCTCTCATTCTTGTATCGAAGGCCACAATCGTAATCAAGTAAAAAAAAAAAACATTGTAGTTTTCCATTCTTTATATTAACACAACAATCACATTACAACATAAAAGTTAAAACCAATACACAAACAATCTTATTCAAAATACATAACCATACATACACACACAACGAAAATCCCAATTCCTTCAATGCCTAGGGTTTTTATAGTACAAAATAAGCTTCCTAGGTCTAAACAAATACCTAGACCCATACGTCGAATGAATCACATCCGCCAAAAGCGGATACTGCAACCAAGCAAACAAAAACACCGGCATAACCGCTAAAAACCCAATCACAATCGGCACCCAAATCAACCCCTCCCGATAAAGCACAAAAAAACTAACACTAAACGCAATCGTCATACTCGTAATCGACAAAAAAAGCGATGTTAACCCCAACATGAGTTTTTTAGGCAACGACTCTAAGAAATCGCGTTCAGCATAACGAGACGTGAGGATAGATAAAAACATGAGAATCGAAGCTGTTGATGAGAATAAGGAAATGGCGTCTGTTACTACGAAAACTATGAAGGTTGGTGTTGTGTGGAAGATTGGGATACCATCGGTTTGGTTGTATCCACCTGGCACTGTAAAAGCGGCGGCGAATACTATGGTGGCTATGAGTGCTGCAACGACCATACATTGACTAGCGGTTCCTTTCATCCATTTCTCACCTTGTGAAACGAGGTCTTTGTGTTCTTTTGTGAATAATTCGTGTGGTGTTAACCCGTCTTTGTTCTTACGTTCTCTGTAAGATGGAGGGATCATGGCTTCTACTTCCTATAACATAAATGTATATGTAGTTATATATTATATCCTCTATTATTTAGGGGTAAATGTGAGAAACAACAATACTTTTTGTTTATTTGTGTATTGTTTGTAGCATGCTACTTTGGATTGTTTTTTGTATTAGGTACTTTGAAAAATCTAGGTGATTATGACATTCTTTAATGCTTCCAAAAGTCTAGATAATTACAACATTGTATTTTTTAGACTTTTTTTTTTTCGGATTAGGACATTTTACTTTGAAATATTTAAGCAACAATAGTAGTGAACATAAGAACGTTACTTTGTATTTGGATGATATTGCTATAATCAATGAATAATAAAATAGCTCGTGTAAAACGTACCTTGAACCACAACAATTCACGTTGCATTTGTAAAGCAACTCCCGAAACATCTTGAAGACGTTTTCTCTTTGCACTCTTTCCAACTAAATGCAACATATTATTTTCGTTTTGATCTTTCAAAGGAGTTATCAAATCCTTCATTGACCCAATCTCATACAATAAATTGTATATACCCTCATGACGATGTTTCACAGCAATATGAAACACACTTTGATTGTTATCATTCACTTTCCATATCAAATCAGGGTATTGCCTAATAAGCTCAACCACAAATTTAGTGTTGCCCATTTCTGCAGCAAGAAACAGTATTCTAGAAGAATAAGTTCTTTTAACATTCACCATTGATGGCATCCTTGTTATTGGCTTTGATGTGGTCCCACCACCACTTCCAACTAATTTTTGGATTTCAATTGGCATTTTGACAATATTTTCGGATATGAGTTTTAGTAGTTGTAGAGCTTGATCTTCCTTTCCCAAATGTAGCTTGTCATCTTGCTTGATTGGATCGGGTGGGCCCCGGATGATGTCATCTATTTGATTCTTGGGCTTCTTCGCAATATCTTTCCAAATGATTCTTAGTAATTGTAATGCTTCGTTTTCCTTTTCGGGAGCTCCCACTTTTAAACGAATGGAAGCAAAACCTATAACAAGAAGAAACAAAATTATATTATAATTAATTAAAGGGTAAGTTACACGGATGGTCCCTCTGGTTTAGGGTAATCTCCGTGTTTGGTCCCTAACAACTTTTTTTACTCGAACCATCCCTACTTTATACTTTTGTTGTACGCTTAGTCATGGTAAATCAGTCTTTTTATAACGGACAGGGACCAAACGTGAAACAAAAATATACAGTAGGGACAGTCCGAGGTAAAAAAAAAAGTTGTTAAAGACCAAACACGCAGATTACACTAAACCACGGGGACCATCCGTGTAATTCACCCAAAGAGTAAATTACACGAATGGCCCCTATGGTTTAGGGTAATCTGCGCATTTGATCCCTGACTTATTTTTTTAACTCAGAAGGTCCCTATTGTTTTTTTTGTTACGCGTTTGGTCCCTGTCTTACCTAAAAAGGCCATTTTGCCCTTGATTTTTTATAATTTATTTAATTAAACACATCCCCATCCTACCCCCTCACCTTACCTACCCCACCATTTTTCCTTTTTTAAATAATAGTCTTTTTAAGTAAGACAGAGGCCAAACGCATAACAAAAACAAATAGTAGGGACCAAGCGCGTAACAAAAACAAATAGTAGAGACCTTCAAAGTTAAAAAATTAAGTTAGGACCAAACACGTAAATTACCCCAAACCATAGGGACCATTCGTGTAATTTACTCTAAAACAAATCAAGAATTATGCTTACATGAATTGATTTTCCTCCATATTACATTAGTCTTTGTTTCAACAAATGCATCCGGCTTTCGAGCCAAAACTCCAAGTACATTCCCATTACTAGCAAGCTCAGGGCGATCTTGCACTATCTTTAATGCGATATCTAAAAACGATTTTACAATGAGAGAAAAAATTTCAACAAATCAACAATGAAAATCATGGATAACATGCTTACCAAAAAGATCAGCCTCAACACATTTAAGAAGAAGCCAACCACGATTCTGAGGGGTCCAACCATCATCACTCAAGTTTTTCGATTTATCATAGAGATACTTCACCATGTCACGTTGACCAAATAAAGCAGCCATATAAAGAGGCATCATTGCTTGACTACCAGGGATTGAAAGCAACTTTTTGTTCTTGTTCACCATAATCTTAACCATTTCAACGTTTCCAGCTGCAGCTGCTAAACAAAGGGCAGTATTGGAACTATTGTTTTGAAGTTCTAAGTCCTTTTCATCCATCTTATCCACTAAATTTTCCACAAATTCTTGCAACTGTTTTGTTCTTATTGCTGATGCTGCAACATGAAGGGCTGTTTCGTGATTTTCAGTGATACTTGATCGTACTAATTTTGGGTCTTTTTCAAGAATCGCTTCAGCAGCTTTCCAATCGCCTTTAATGGCTGCTTCGTATAGAGGGACACCAATGTCTATGTAAGCTTCTCTGCTTCCTTTAAATTAGTTACAAGGAAAAGTTATTGCGAATCGAATGATATAACCAATCGATTAAAGTTATAAATAGCATGATATCTGTTCAAAATCAAAATTATATGCTACTTATTTGCGAAACCTCAAATCATATCACTTTATAGTTTATACGCACACCCAATGATCCAATCAAGTAGAAAATGGAGAAATTTACCTGTAAGGAGATCAGAAGCAGGTAGATTCGGTTGTGGTGGCCTTGATTGAGAAGGAACGATGATTTCGTGCTGCTGCTGTGGAGTTATGGGCTTCTGTTCATCGATTGGGGCTAATTGCACACCTGTTTGCTTCATATCTAAACAGTTACACCATTAACGATTAGAAACCTAATTGCTTGAGATCATGAGTAGTAGAGTGTAAGTGAGGGTTTGAATTTGATGCTTCTGAAAATACCTTTGCGATTATGTATGAGTTAGTGAATGAATAGCCTTCGGAGGAATTCTGATTATATTATTTGTGGAAGATAGTTTAACATTGATTCGATGATTTATAATGAGTTAACGTCTAGGTCTAAGTCAACGTTACAACGTCTATATCCTTATGTAAATTTCTAAGAAATTTGTCCTAATAAAAAATTGAGATAATCATTCAAATATTAAATGGATGGTGTACACTATACATGGCTAAATGGCACAAAAAACATTTTTTTTTTACATAGAAATTCAATTTTGATACCGTGTTAATTTTTTTTTCACTTTTGATACTGTGTTTTCCAATTTATTACAATTTTGACCATTTGACCAGTTAACCAGGTTATATGCTGACGTTACATGATGATGTGTCAGTTTTGATTACGTGGCATGCTGATATGATATGTTGATATGTCAAAATTGATTTTTTTTCACAAAAAACACTAAGTTTTCACTTTTTTTCAATTTTGACACTAAGTTTAATTTTTTATTTCAATTTTGACACTATGTTTTTTTTGTTCCAATCGAACATCATTTATCAAATTTTGTTCAATTTTATCTATTTTCCATTTGAAACCGTATAAATATATTTTTTTATTACATTTTAAACCGTATAAACATATTTTTTTTTTTCGTTTAAAAACCACATGTTTATTTAAATACAAGGTGTTTTTTTTTCTTATATTCAAAACATTAGTTATATCATGAGAATCAAACTAACCATAAGCTTCTAATAAGATGTAAATTTTTGATGGGTTGAAAACTTGATATCCGAGTTTTGATCGACTACACGCCTTCAAACCTCCAAACACATTTTAAAGTTGCATATTTAATATAAAATACAATTTTTATATAACTGATACATATTTATACATAAAAATATGGTTTGAGTGTGAAAAAAATAATAATAAAAATATGTATTTATACAAAATTATGGTTTTTAAATGAAAAAAAAAACATATTTATACGGTTTAAATGTATTAAAAAAATATTTATACGGTTTCAAATAGAAAATTGTTAACATTGAACAAAATTGGAAAAAATGATGTTCGATTTGGAACAAAAAAACATAGTGTCAAAGTTGAAAGAAAAAATTAAACTTAGTGTCAAAATCGAAAAATAATAATAACTTAGTGTTTTTTGTGAGAAAAAATTCAATTTTGACATGTCAGCATATCATGTCAGCATGTCACGTCGTCAAAATTGACATGTCATCATGCCACGTCAGCATGTAATCTGGTTAACCGGTCAAGTGGTCAGAATTATAACAAATTGGAAAACATGTCAAAATTGACACAAAAAAACACACGGTGTCAAAATCGAATTTATGTGTAAAAAAATCTTTTTTTGTGTCATTTACCCTTTTATAATTCTCAAATTAAATTTTCTTAAATATTCGTTGTAAAACAAAATAGATTTATAGAAACCACGCATAATTTAATTTATTCGGTCCTAATTTGGATCGGTTCGGTTTAGGTTTCGATTTTGGTTCGGATACTCGGTCCAAATGTATATCCCTAGTCTTAGTTATTTAAAAGTTCGATATTATTTTATTTTAGATCTTATTTATCTTTATAAGAAAAAAGATCAAACAATATTTTTTGAAGTAGTTAAGCTATTTAATTATATGTAAAAATTAAAATAGATATACTAAGAAATTGCATAACACATGGCAATCATGCTAAGGGAATTCAAATTTCAACAAGGATATGAGATTTGAGATTTTAATATGGTAATAAGAAATTGCATCCATAATCCATGTTATTCGTTTGAGATTTTAATATGGTAATAAGAAATTGCATCCATAATCCATGTTATTTGTTCACAATTTATGTTACTTTACAATAAGTAATTAGTTGACCAACACGATGCTATTTATGTTAAGAGTTTCTAATGACTATTAATAATGTTTACAATAAAAGTTTGTACATTATGTTAATTTGTATTTTACCTCTTAAAATTCAAAAAATGTTCAATATGCTTTATAATATATATATATATATATATATATATATATATATATATATATATATATATATATATATATATATATATATATAGAGAGAGAGAGAGAGAGAGACAGACAGACAGAGAGAGAGAGAGAGAGAGAGCGAGAGCAAAATAAAATAGAGATCTTGAGATTCAACCTCAACCACATATTTTAAGTCTGCCACTCTAATCCACCGACGTACTGACACAACGACCATGTTATAATCATAAATGATTATATAGCATCGTTCTTTCTTTTCTCCTACACCACCATCCCCACCACCACAACCGCCACCGCCACCACCATTACCACCACCTTTGTAACGCTCCAATTCTCATGTATTGATTTATATAAGAATTTTCTTGATTTCAAGGTCTACTCAACGAGTTGGTTGCCCTACTCGCCGAGTAGCAGCGGGTTGGTCCACATGTTTTAGTGATCTACTCGCCGAGTCCAAGAAGTGACTCAACGAGTAGGAGCTAACTGATGAAACCCTAGATTCCGGGGTATTGCACCCTATTTAAAGGATCATTGGCCTCCCCCAGCCTCCTCTTTACAGCTCCTTGGCACCCTTAAACCCTAAATTGTGTGGGTGTGGGTGTGTGTTTCTTTGGTGTGATAAAGCTTGGATGAGGGATCTTGGTGAAGAAACACTTGGGGGAAAAAAGTAAATTAAAGCTAAGAACTCGTGGGAAGCAAAGATCTACTTCAGTTGGCACTCTCTTGAAGGTATTAGGCTATCTCCTTGGCTCATTTCATTTTTAATCTCTTTTGGGTGGGTTTTAGAAAAAGTTTATAGTGCTTGAGTCAAGATCTGAAGTTGCAACTTCAGATCTGGACTCCCTTTGGCCTCTAAATCCATAAAGTCACCAGTTTTGGCAAGTATGAGCCTTCCCTCAAGTGCAAGACTTCTTTTCAAGCTTAGTTTTGTCATTTTGAGGCTTTAGAGCTTTGCATGCACGTAAAGTTTGCAACTTTACGTGATAAGCATGCCTTGGGAAGCTGGATCTGCAATATGGAGCATTTGCATGGCTTAAAAAGCATTTGTATGGATGAAGGACTGAAGGGACTCGGCGAGTCCGATGAAGATTATCGTGAACTCGGCGAGACGGATGAGTGACTCGACGAGTCGGATGGGGTTTTCCCAATTGTTGGACATATATGAACTTGGTGAGTTGCAAGGGGAAGTCGACGAGTCGACCATGGAGTTTACGGTCGCAAACCTTAGGAACTCGACGAGTCACTCTAGTGACTTGGCTAGAGTGACTCGATGAGTTGGTGAGTTATGCATGAAACTCGGGGAGTAACTGAGGGTACTCGACGAGTTGAGGTCAACATGGACTGTTGACCTTGACAGTTGACTTTGACTTTGACCAAGGATTGACCAGTTGACTTCTGGGGACATTTTGGGAGATTGGAAATTTAAAAGCATGGTTTACAATGAATATAGGTGGTGGAGTTCGTGGCAGTGTCCCAAGAGTTTGAGCTTATCATATGAGTCGACGGTTACGAGGTGAGTTGTTCTCACTATATCAATAGGGTCTAAGGCACTAAGGTCGGCCTTTTGCGGATTGTATCCGGTTATGGCATGATATGTTTATTGATTACATCCTGGTAGTTAGGATGGTGATATGCTTATGCGTAGTGACCTGGTTAGGTCAGTGTCCTGGTTATAGGATGATGCTATGTTAGTGACTATTTAGGTATGTATCCCGATTATTGGGATGTTGCTATGATTAGTTATCTGTTAGATTGGTTTGACTGTTATATAATATGAGCTAGCGTATGATATTTATGTGCACATGTTTGTTTGATTAGGGATTGGGTTGAGGTGGTCTTGCTTTGTGTTGTAGGCCAACATACCCGGTAAGCGGTCTGGATAAGTTGTAGGCCCTGCGAGGCGGTTCAGCCACGCCAAAGGCTCGTGAACGATCAAGATAGGCTGTAGGCCCTACGAGGCAGTCCATTCAGGCTTAAGGCTCATTATGTATGTTGTTATGTATTTGTTACATGTTATGATTATATTGGTATGGCGTTGGTATTTTGGGGTAGCTCACTAAGCTTTCGGGCTTATAGTTTCAGTTTGTTGTTTCAGGTATTCTGGTGATCGAGGGAAGGCGAAGACCTGATCGTACCGCTCCTCCTGCTGCTATGTTTTATTATTGGAAACTGGAATACTCTGATGATTATTATTTTGAAAAAAAATTATGTATTGATTAAACGGTCTTTTTAAGTGTGTTGAAAAGGTTTTAATTGACATCATTTTATGGGTGTTACAACCTTGACACCAACTGACCCCACACCTATCACCTCCGTCACTTATACCATCCCCACCTCTGTTACTACTATCTCTTATGTCATTAACTGTCATAATCATATATGATTATTGTGAACATACATATATGTATAATCATTTATAATTAGGCATGCACTGCTGGTGTTGGTACGCTGGAACGTCAGATCGGCAAATGAGAAATATATGGTTCATGTTGAATCTCAAAATCTCTATTTTTTTAATCTCAAGTTAACTGTCTTTTATATATATATATATATATATATATATATATATATATATATATATATATATATATATATAAACTGTTTTCTTCGTTACTAAGTAAGTGTTGGTGGGATAGTTTATACGTTTTATAAATACCGAAACATATGAACATTGACCATTTTCACTTATTTATTGGTTAGTTTTAATCTATTAAGTTAAATAAAAAAGCAAAGTTTAAAAATAAAAATCGCATCTCCTAAAATATTTATTTAAAATATTATATAATAATAATAATAGTTTTGTATTCATTTTGGACGTATTGCATATATATATATATATATATATATATATATATATATATATATATATATATATATATATATATATATATATATATATATATATAGAGAGAGAGAGAGAGAGAGAGAGAGAGAGAGAGAGAGTTAGGTTCAAGTATTCTAACTAATTATTGTACATCTATCGTATTAAAATATGTTGTTTGATAATATAAATACATTCAATATTTCATAACTATTGTTATTAACACAAATTCTCACTAATTAAATCGTCTATAAGG